TCGAACGGGCGCTCGCTCAGTGGTAGGAGCTCGACCCCGGGATCCATCTCGTGGTCCGGGGGAGTCCCGCCACGTGGAATATCGTCCGCCATATCGAAAATGATGAGAAAATGGCCGGAGGAAGGAAAACCGGGTCGGAATGCGAAGAGTCAACCAAAAAGTCAACTCCCGAGAGGGTCGAAAATGGCCGGAAAGGCCGGAATGTGAAAAGGTACGGAAATGAAGAGGAAAGCAAGGGGAACAAACCCCGAAAAGGCGGGAACGCCAAACGAGGCACCGAAACAAAAATGTGATCGGTGGAAAATGTCCGAAACGCGAAGAAAATCGTGAATCCGACGACGAAACGGGCGTAGAACGCGAAGAAACGGAGAAACGGGAAAAAGAAAACACTCTAGAGAGAGAAGGTTAGAGTTTTCGGCGGTGGAGAAGTGAAGAATAGGGTTTTGAAACCCTATTTTAAAACACCCGAAGTGAAAAGTCGAAACTGCCCCGATTCAGCAACTGTTTGCCGGTCGGCAATGTTTTGTGCCGGCCGGCACCTTTTTGTGCCAATGGAGTTATTTTTCAGTCGGTGGACAGCCGGTGGCCTCCCCTCCCGGCCGGTGATGTTCCCACAGCCTTGTTAAGGCCATATGAGATGTTTTTGGTCTTCATAGCTCAAGAAGGTGCAAGAAAGTGCATTTCCGACGCTCAACCGGCCTCCGTTTTGACCTCGGGTCGTGTCTTCCGTGCGTAGCACTTCAACCCATGCAAGGTGTATCCTTTTCGTATCCTTTTGACTTTTACAAGGTCCAAAAGTTGCCCCATGTATATCGCATAACAATCGCACTGTTTTGTGCATTTCAAACTATCGCACTGTTTTGTGCATTTCAAACTATCGCACTGTTTTGTACATTTCAAACTATCGCCACTACTAAAAAAAGTACTTTTTGCGACCGTTACAAGCCGTCGCAAATAATAAAAAAACAGTCGCAAAAGGTTTTTTGCGACGGCTCATGCGACGGCAAAATAAGGGTCGCGAATGTGGGGGTGGCAAATACTTTTTGCAACCGCAAAATAACAGTCGCAAACTATTTGCGACTGCCTAACCTACTTTTTGCAACCGTTATTTTGCCGTCGCAAAAAAAAAAAAAAAACTTTTAGCAACTATTTTTTTACTGTCACAAATAATTATTTTTATAATAAAATCATATACGTTTGCTACAATAAAAAAATCAATTCCAAGCACCTAACAATTTTTTTTAATAAAAAATAACAAAATTAACAAATTAATTTAAATTCATAATAGAAATACTAACCCATTCACATATAAGTGTGCAAACAAAATATAAACTTTCATACATGCAAAAACAAATATCCATCAACCATCATTAAAATATATTGTACTAAAAGATTCGAGTCCTCAAAAAAAAAAAAATATAAATAAATAAAAAGAGCAACATAATCTCAATTTGGCTCCCAAACATCACCCGCTCGATTACTACTCCCTCAACAAAACCTACAAAAACATATACACGTGACTTGAAAATTTAATGCAGTTTAACTTGAAATAATAAAAATAAAACTAAAAAGCCTAAAAAGCCTAAAAAGGGATTTTCCAGACTACACCATGTAATTAAAGGGATTTACCGACGCATACTATAATGAATATTCACAAAACCTAAAAAGCCTTTTCTCAAGATTTTCCAGAATTGTTCATCCAGTTTGCTATAACTAGAAATATATGCTGCATTTTGTTCCATATCCAATGGATGTTCATAGAAATCTCAAGCTAGCATTATATGCATGTTGGGAAACATGAATTCGCCAATAGTCCGTGAATGTTACCATCAAATTATCATTGTATTTATGTTGTCATGCATCAATTATCACCACTAACATGCTTCTTTCTAACTCACTTCATCTGAAGCGAATAGTGAAAATTTCAACCATGTGTGTTAGAGAGAATTCAAAGCCATCATCCACTGATATTTTTCAAAGGCTTGCAACTTTGAAGTAAATACTCAACAACAATTCAACTATCAATAGCAAAACCTGTTCATCATAAATTTCTACCATTTAATTAAACTAAGCTTTCAAGATCCAAATACATATGGAACAGGCCATCAATTTGACTAAATTCATAAATACTTGGTGGATAGTTTTTTTTTTTTAATTTTATTTGTTCTTCTGGGAAAAAGAATTGATTAACACCAAAGGGCTTCTGGTATTTGCATTAAACTAAGGGAAGATTAACAGCAAGCTCTAAGGACCCCACTCCATATATAAACAAACATTCATTCTCAGTTAATAGAATTGATTTAAAATGCTAATTCATTCGTTGGTACAAATAACAATGTTAATCAAGCCCTTGACAAAACACCCTAGCGAGCAATCGATTTTGAACTCTAACGACACCTGAAATCTCTCTCTCTCTCCCCATTTTTTATGTTAAGGGATGCTGAGTAATCCATTTTTGTTGGGGCTCCAATAATACACTTCTCATTGTTGGAGGTGAAAGTTTTGTTCAGAGTAATAATGCTTCATATCCTTTATGTTGAGAATATGAAATTTTGTTAGAGTTTTGCTGCGAAGCAACATTGACCTATTGATCATGTAAGAAAATAAACAGAAACAAAAAAAAAAATCCATAATTTCATTGTGTAGAACTCTCTCTCTAGCAAAGGTGTATGAACCCAACTTAACTGATTTGTCCCAATCCCCACTGGCTCTTTCTATATTTTGTTAAGGTGCTCTAGGTTAAGTAATAAGTAGTAAACTTTCTAGTTAAAAACTAAACTAACAGATTACTTAGCTAACGGAGGAAATAAAGTCCATGAGTGCTGAAAAGGCTAAGCTAGCAACAGCTGCTGAAAAGGTGCAAGTGTTTTGTGTTTAGTTTAAGTATTGTTTTAAGTGTTGCTGTTTTGAGTGTTATCTAACGAGTATTATGAACTTAGGCTGTGTGTTGTGCTCAGGGTGGAAGGTTGTTCACTCTGAATGCACAGGCACCAGAGTCAATATGGCCAGAGGTGAAATCAGACTTCTATAGAATTGCTTATTCCTTCAATCTAACATCTTGAGAGAGAGAGATGTTTTTCCTTTCCATGGAACATTGTTTTTGCCCTAATTTGTTATGTTCATCATACATAGAATCATCTCACTTCCTAAAAGAGTTGTCACTTACTAATATTGGTTGATTTTGGCCTTTAAAGTAGGTTGGATATCATATTAGAAATAGATTCAGATAACAGACAATCAATCAGTTAAGAAACACAGATGGGTCATCAAAATCACCATTATCTTCTGTTCTTGCTTCTTTTTTTCTTGTTTTCACAGAACTCTCATTCTCATTTATGGAGTTGGTTCTCTTCCTCCAAAGAGACTCTTACCGAGAACCCTTCAGAGAATGGAGCAGTTTTCAATGACGTAGTGGGCGAATTCTCCATGGAAAGTCTGAACAACCGAAAGGGGATCCAACTAGTTAAGAATGCAAGAAAAAAAGATGGTTGCATCAAATTCGTGTTGGCAAAATGCTTACCAAAATCATTTTGCTGGGTGTTCGGAGATCCTAGCCGGTGAAGAGAAGCGGTCTAGACTTGCTTGGCATCTCAGCGATTGCTTCTAGAAAGACTCTGGCATGCCTCCTTTTCCTCATTGCAAAATCTAGCATGTTGAAATGAACCACAAAATTGGACGAGGATGTGCGGAAGATCTATCTCGAGTTTTATCTTGAAACCAACTCTATCTGCCATCAATTACAGTAAAGCATATACGTATAATTTATGTATATCCAAGTTCATTGGTATTAGAACAGTCACTGACTAGAATTTTGATTTCATGGTATTGAAGGACTGATGCATTCAAGCATCAAACAGAGAGATTGGTGAATGAACTAAAAAATTCAGCCCAATTTGCAAAAGACAAATTAGAGACCATAGAAGAGAAAGCAGAGGGTCTGTTGAAGATCTAAGTTCAATATGCCCAAACTCTCACCTAGGCTCCCTGGCTAAAAACACTTCAGAAGCTCCTCAACACACTATGGCACCACATATGCTCTCTTTGATTCATTAAATGGGTGGTGACACAGAATCCGTTCTGCCACCTGCAAAATAAAATGACACAGATCTGTTCATAACTCAATTTAAGAAGTTACTATATAAACCCCTAAATAACAAGCACTTAACAGGGTACAAAGAAGAGTCAGAACTCAATAGTTCACGATGGTAACAAACTGAGAGAAGACTGCAGTTTATACAACTAAGGAAGCCTTCCAAGTTCGAAGATGAATCAGGAACATTGGTTGTATGGGTTGATTATCCTGCATAACCGTATATGATCCCTCTAGTCTCTACTAACCATATATTCCACAAGTACACACATGCATGTATCTATTTTTGTGTATATGCATTTGATATATGAAAGAACTTGATATGTGAAGGGACAAACAATACATATTAAGTTCTCACGCACTCTTTCACTAATGTAATCTCCTTATACATGTAAAAAGCCATCCTAACATACGAACTAAAGTGCAGAGTAACAGATATAATGACGTAAGAAAAAAAGATGGTTGCATCAAATTCGTGTTGGCAAAATGCTTACCAAAATCATTTTGCTGGGTGTTCGGAGATCCTAGCCGGTGAAGAGAAGCGGTCTAGACTTGCTTGGCATCTCAGCGATTGCTTCTAGAAAGACTCTGGCAGGCCTTCTTTTCCTCATTGCGAAATCTAGCATGTTGAAATGAACCACAAAATTGGACGAGGATGCGCGGAAGATCTATCTCGAGTTTTATCTTGAAACCAACTCCATCTGCCATCAATTACAGTAAAGCATATACGTATAATTTATGATAAGATATCCACTTAAAATAAGATTCAAACAAAGAGTTTCACTGTTTCAATATAAATTGACCCATTCTCAAATAATAGATGAAAAACTATGCAAGGCTCTAATTTGAAAGGAAAAGAAAACAAAATGAAGATCAGTTACCTTAATAACTTTTCTGATGCAATCCTGGCAGCAACAATAGTGCTACAGTCAGGTACCCACTTTACAACACGGTTTGGATCAGAACGCATTGGAGAATGAATCTTAACAAGCTGGGAAAAAAACAAAAAGAGAGGTGGGAAAACAGAAGTAAAATATGAGAAACTACTGTAGGAACCGAATAATTGTAAGGAATACAATTATATGCGTACCACAACGGACTTGTGAGGTGGTGAAACAGGAGTCCATAACATGTGCTCCAAAACCCATTAGAAAAGATTGAGCAGTGTAGGAAAAATTGAATCCTGAAATCTGTCATTACACGATTCCATAAAATTTGTAACTAATGTACCTAATGATACAGTGGGAATAAATGATTGAGCACCAGCAGTTCAATTGAGAGAATACACGAAGAGAGGCTCAGCTAATGCAACTCTAGAATTATGTGAAAGCATATTTGATATCAATTTCACCGTTTGAAGGGTTGAAGGACGCCTCAATTTCCGCTGAAATGTTACCTCTTCTTGATCCATGGATTCCAACTGTGACTGGCTTGGCCAACAGCTTAATTCCTTGCTTCCAGTATCTTTTATCTGAACAAACATGTAAGATAAGAAAAAGCCCGAGAAAGTTTTATGCATTATTTCAAAAGTGTGTTGTAAACGAGGAAGTTCCAATTTTCCGCTTTTTGTTAACTAGGTGAGTTCAATAGTTTTAAAGCATAAAGATGGTATGATTATGTGCGACAAACAGCAAAAATAGATACCAATTTCCCAGTATTTCATTCTAGCACAAAACTCAAGCATACCAGGTCCTGTTGAAAGCACAAATGGAGTTATCAATGTCCATCACCCAATCAATCCAGAGCACAAAACCATGGCATATCCCAAGCTCCGTAAATTCAACCTAGACAAATTTCTTTGTAAGTATACATTTGATACCTGGTTCAGATATTGCAGATCCTGGTGCAGGACCAGTTTTACACAAGCATATTCAAAAGCAGGGATAATTCAATACCTGGGCTTTCCCAAAACAAGGACTAATGGGTTTTGAGAAATCAAACTCCATGACTGTAGATATCTCACTGAGCCCCTGAAATGATTTGAACTCAAATTGCATTTAATATCAAAATGTAATATCATTATATTCTCAAATAAAAAGTACTTTCCATTACACAAATTGATTACCTTATTCTCCCCACCCTGCCAAACAAAAAAGGGAAAACAAGGGCTCTCTTGGGATGCGGGTAAATCACCACATGCCCCTAAGAAATAGTCCTTAAGTTTACCTTATTCAAAACCTTAGGTAAAGAAGATCTTAAGCATCACTGATGAAGAAATAGTCCGAATAACATCTCAATAAGTTTGCCTACGAAAATTTTGAATTAAGAATAAGAGTTGAGTAAACTTCCAACACCTTATAGTAGGACTATAATTCATTTTCAGGCATTAACACATCCAGAATGATCAGGGCGAGTGATATTCTTACAAAACTAAGCATTTCAATCTGAGATAAAACTGAATGCAATATTTCCTAGTTCGGACACACTATTTGATGCTCAAATTAAGACATATCGTACAAATACAAATTAAAGTAGTATTATTTACCAAAACCACAGGTTTTGCCATGGAAGCATGCTATCATTTCCATAATAAAACGGTTCACCAACCAAGAGCTCAACCTGCAGATAGAAATTGAAATACCCAGTGTTTACATTCAATTTCATTATTGATCTGCAGCAGCCTATAGTAATAAAAGTCACTCACAATTCTTTTCCCAACTTTACCCAATAAATAAAGTCACAGTTATTGAACTAATCAAACCACAAAGAGAAACAATAATATCTAATCATGAATCTCATGATTCTTATAATATTCTCACTCAGCCAGAAAACAAACAAGAAAAGCCAAAAAGATGAGGATCAGATGCGTCTGGCAAGTTGAAGCCTCAAACAGCAAGATGCTGGAAACACACAAATCAACCACACAAACTCATGCAAAATCAACCAAAACCCAATCATGGAATTAATAACGAAATTCAAAAAATATATATATACTTTAATAGAAATCAAGAGAAAGCTATGCAATCAGGTGCATAAAAGGAAAACAGAGCAAAATCATACCATCCCAGCAGTAGATGCTGATGCTTGAAGCTGCCCATTTCTCTCCTCTAAGCTCTCCTGTAATCTATACATCTCCTCCTCCATCTTCTTAGCTTTGGCCTCTGCCTAGGGAAAAAATAAAAAATAAAAAACCCAAAAATACACAAAATTAGAGAAGATCCCACAAAGAACATCACTTTACAGAGAAGAACAAAAAGGTGAAATGAAATTATTTTATTTCCAAAATACACACAAATGCAAACAAATATACATAGAAACATATAAACAAATATACAAATTCACATGCATGTCTAGTTAGGGTTTGAAGAGCCAATGACTGCTCCTGTGAAGCGAGACGGCTTCGGGCCTCCTTGAGCTCCACTGCCAGTGACACCACGTTTCGCCCGAAGCTCTGCTTCTTCTCACTCAGATCCTTCAACAACGGATTGATATTTCTCGGTGCGCAGAACGCTGTCGTTCCATGCAATCACCTCATTGTCCATGCGATTGAAGCTTCTCTCCATCGCGATCTTCCACTCCTCCGTACTCGAATCCTTCTTCTCTATCTCTTCCTTTACAAGTTCATGTAACTGATCTCTACATTTCATCGCCACCTACAATGAAATCAAACACCGATTAACACTCGATAATGAAAAACAAAACACAAACAACTTGCTTGAAACCTTGTTAATCAGCAGATCTAACAAAATGCGAGAGAGATCAGATTAGATAGACTTTTTTGTTCGATTTGGGATCTGCAATTTGCGAGAGAGATCGAGTTTGAGTTTGATGAAGAAAAGCTAGAGCAAGAATAGATCTAGCAAAATGCAAGAGAGATCAGATCGAGTTCGGATTTCGATCAGATTAGATCGACTTTTTTGTTCGATTATGAATCTGCGATTTGTGAGAGAGAGAGAGAGATCGAGTTCGATGAAGAAGGGCAGTGTATGAGAGAGATTTTGTGTTACTTTTGTAATTGGAATGGGATTTAAGTGTCTATTAAGCTAAATACAGCGAGCATGACGCCATGAAAAACGTGTTGACGATCAGTACACCACAACGTTTTTTAAAACGTCTTGATTGAAGCGCCGTTATGGAGCACTTTTCTTGTAGTGATAACAGCGAAACACGCTTGGAGTTCAAATAAAATTAGATTTTGATGTAAAATATGATTTTTTGCGACGGTTAAACAATCCGTCGCAAAAAATAAGACGCAAAAAATCATAATTCTAGTAGTGTATACATTTACGATAAATAGAAGAGATTTTATATTACAATCATCAGAGTATTCTTATAAAAGGTATTACATGTTGACAACAAAAGTAAATGTCCTATAGGCTTACAACTTTCCAAGTCAATACTTGGTTACAAAAAGGAGAGTACTAACTCTACACAGAATAAGCCATTGGCTTGATATACATGTAATACAACAAAAACAACAAAAAGGAGTCTGACAGCCTCAAGCCTCCCAAGCTACGTCCTTGGAGGTGACATAACACCTGTACCTGAAAATGATGTCCCATATAGGGTGAGCCAATACCCAGTAGAGATATGCTAAACATAATATGAGCAATAACTAAAATATCAGCACTTGATAAACATTTAACTCATATAAACCAATATACAGTACAATCCAGTTCTATAATCCTTCACTTAACAAAAACTCAATTTATAAACACGGCTCAGAACCTGGCTAAACAATTTAAGTGAGACTACATCTCATGCCACCAATACTTTCAACTGCCATTTTATGAAAATTGCGTCCGCGGGATTCAGCACTCATGTGTAATTATTTTCTTATGGCCGTTTTACGAAAATTTCATCCGCGGGACTCGACACCTATGTATAGATATTTTCGAATTGCCATTTTACAGAAATTTCATCCGAGGGATTCGGCACCCATGTATAATTATTTTCGAATTGCCATTTTACGAAAATTTCATCTGCGAGATTCGGCACCCATGTATAATTATTTTCAATTTGCCATTTTACGAAAATTTTATCCGCGGGATTCGGCACCCATGTATTCAAATTCTCATCATATACAATAACCAATCAATACACAAATTCGTTGTATTATTCCAACCGTCATACTCAATGACATACTCAAATTGATTAGTTTTAATTCACCTAAACATCATGTAGTGTCTACAACAATCAAGACTATCCTCCACCGATAGCCCAAAGCAGTTATTTCTAAACAGATAATAAATGCACCAACAGATAAATTATCAACATTTTCAAAGGTGAGTGATTAATGAATCCAACTTCACCATTCTACCTCATAATGAGCCAATTTCATTATTTCCACTCAATTTCATATTCCGATAATAAATGTTATTAATTACACTAATGACATAAATATACCCAAACATGACATTTTTTCCCTTTCCTCAACATTGACCCAAAGGTCTAAATATCATCAACAACATCAATAACCTCCTTCTTAGACCCAAACACATATGTTTGAATCAAAAGAACAAAACCCTTCTTTCCAATATAACACATCTGAAACCCTAACTTCCCAAATCAAACCATTTATACAAAAAGCTTAACATTTAGGTTATAGCTCATAAAAATGAGTAGTTATCCCTACCTCAAATTCGGAGCTTAAAGGAAGAAGGTGAAGAAATTCGAAATGCTCCAAACTCCAATATTTTCAGATCAAAATGTAGCCCTCAACAAGCTCCACACTTTTTACAAAAGCCCAAGGATAGAAGAACACTCCTACTAGATCAAACCTTAGAGAGAAGTTAGAGTTTTAGAGTGAGGTGCTCTCCAATGGAGGTTTTGAAAAGCAAGAGAGAGAAAAGGAGTTGAAGTGATCCAAAAAGTCGAACTTCGGACTGATATACAAGTCGCCCCGCTCAAGCGTGGAACTCCTCGCTTGAGCGTCAGACACAGACTCACGCTCGAGCGTCAAAAGCGCCACTCGAGTGCCGGATGCACACTTCTAGAAGTTTTGCAAACCATGGTCCCCGCTCGAGCGTCAGATTCCCCGCTCAAGCGGAGGAACAAAAACGAAAGGTCCCGCTCGAGCGTTAAAACTCTTGCTCGAGCGTGTGACGACCTGCAGAGGCAAAATACTGGAAGATGAATATTCACGCTCGAGCGTCAAAACTCCCGCTCGAGCATCAAAAGCCCCGCTCGAGCGTGAAGGCCAAAATTTAGGCATTAACTTTTGATTTCTAACACAACCAACCTGTTCCAAACCTGCCCAACACAACCCAAGACTCAAATACAAAGAGTAAAGGATAGAAATGAGAATAAAACAACAACATAACCACAGAACCAAGTCCGTAATGCAATAATCAAAGGAAAGGAAAACCGGGATCGCTATAACCTCCCCCCTTAAGGAATTTCGTTCCCGAAATTAAGTACAATTTTTCAAAAACAAGTTTTCCTTAATTCTCAATAATATTACCAACCAACATTCCACAACCTGACCCATTACCGGTCATCCCATCTCTTTTTAAGAGGCAAATCACAATATATAACTCAATATGTATTTTTAACATGCTTTCCTTGAAATTCAACAAATTTCAATACATAATCCACACTTCACTTTCACATTCAATGCCAATAATATATTTGCATTTCTAAAACAAAATTAACATATGCAATGTTAAAATAAACTACATTTCAAGGCAAGTCCCATAATACTTCCATAAATCAAAACATATATAATGTTTTACAACCTAAGACATTTTTCATGCTCTCAAAGTTCATCAATATTACAAAATTCCCAATACATGATTACACATCAACAAACATATCCGGATATTTTTCACGGACCTCCAACTCACGTTCCCAAGTGGCTTCTTCCACTCCGTGATGTTTCTACAAAACCTTTATCAAGGGAATGGTCTTGCCTCGCAGGACTTGCTCCTGCTTATCTAGGACCCGAACCGGTCTCTCTTCATATGAGACATCCTCTACCTCTAAGTCGGTCCAATCCAATATATGCGATGGATCCGGCTCGTACTTCCGAAGCATACTGACATGAAACACGTCATTTACCCCGGACAACTGCGGCGACAAAGCTAAACGGTAGACAACTTCACCAATCCTCTCAAGGATCTTAAAAGGGCCTATAAGCCGAGGAGACAACTTCTCACTCTTCCCAAATCTCATCAATCCCCGCCTAGGTGATATTTTCAGAAAAATATGATCACTCGCCTCAAATGCCAAAGGCATCCTCCTACGGTCGGCATAACTCTTTTGGCGACTCTGGGCTGTAACAAGCCTCCTACGGATAAGCTCAACTTTCTTCATCGTTTCCCTCACCAACTCCGGGCCCAACAAAGGTGCATTACCCACCTCGGCCCAACAAACTGGAGACCTACACGGTCGGCCATACAAGGCCTCAAACGGTGCCATACCGATACTGGATTGAAAATTGTTGTTGTAGGCAAACTGCACCAAGGGCAAGTGCCTCTTCTACGACCCACTAAAGTCAAGGACACAACCTCGAAACATATCCTCAAGGATCTGAATAGTACGCTCGGACTACCCGTTAGTCTGAGGATGATAAGTCGTGCTAAAGGTCAATCTAGTGCCTAAGGCACTCTGCAAACTCTATCACAACCTAGCAGTAAAACGTGGATCTCTATCTGAGACGATCGACACTGGGACCCCGTGCAACCTCACTATGTCCCGAATATACAAGTCGGCAAGATGATCTACCGAATCTCTCACGCGCATAGGGATGGAGTGCGCTGACTTAGTCAACCGGTCTACAACCACCCAAATAGCATCACTACCTCGCTGAGTCCTCGGAAGACCTACAATGAAGTCCATAGTGACATGCTCTCACTTCCACTCGGTAATAGGCAAGGGTTGCAACAAACCCGCTGGCCTCTGATGCTCGGTCTTCACTTGCTGACAAGTAAGGCACTTAGACACAAACACAGCCACATCTCTTTTCATATCCCGCCACCAAAACTGGCGACCCAGATCATGATACGTCTTAGTGACTCCCGGATATACCGCAAGGCGTGAATGGTGAAAATCTCGGAGTACTTTCTCTCGGCAAGACTCCAGCACAAACAAACGGTCTCGGTATCTCACACTCAGGTCGGGATACACCGTCAAACCCTTCTCAGCCTTCCCGTTGGAGATCTTCTCTCGGAGGGATTCTACCTCAAGGTCACCTCCCTGTGCCTCTAACACTCGATTCACAAGTGTGGGTTGCGCAACTACAGAAAACAAGGCCGCAGCCTCAATGGATTCGCCCAGAAGCAAATCGAACTCGCAAAGTGCACCTAACATCTCCCACTCCTAAATGGCTATACAAGCTACATCACTAATGGATTTCCTACTAAGGGCATCAGCCACAATATTGGCCTTTCCCGGGTGATAGTGCAACTCGAAGTCATAGTCCTCAATGAACTCCATCCACTTTCTCTGCCTCAAATTCAAGTCTCTCTATGTAAACAGGTACTTCAAACTCTTATGATCCTAGAATACGTCGAATCTCTCACCATAAAGGTAGTGCCTCCAAATCTTCAAGGCAAAAATTACTGCTGCTAGTTCTACGTCGTGAGTAGGGTAATTCCTCTCGTGAATCTTTAACTGACGTGAGCCATAGGCTACCACTTTCCCCTCTTGCATCAACACACAACCCAAACCCTCTCGTGAGGCATCACAATAAACCGCATAACCCAAACCTCTCTCTGGAATAATCAAAATCGAAGCGGTGGTCAATCTAACTTTCAACTCTTAGAACGACTTTTCACAAGTCTCACTCTATACAAATTTGACCCCTTTCCGCGTCAATCTAGTCAACGGTGAGACTAGCCTGGAGAAGTCTTTCACAAACCGGCGGTAATACTTAACTAATCTCAGAAAACTGCGGATCTCAAAAACACTCTTAGGCTGTGCCCAATTTTGCACTGCCTCAATCTTGGAAGTATCAATAGACACCCCTTCCCCGGAAACCACATGGCCTAAGAACTTGACCTCTCCTAGCCAGAACTCACACTTTCCAAACTTGGCATACAGCCTATGGGCTCTAAGCAACTCAAGCACCACTTTCAAGTGTTCCTCGTGCTCCTCTTC